ATTTGTGTGTTGTGATGGGGAAAAATTATAATAAAAAATAAACTATAAAAAAAAAGAGAGAAGAGGATAGAGAAAGATAGCAAGTGAACAATAGAGAGGATGTTAGTGAGAAACAGATATGGTTTATTATCTGTTGATGATGACGTGTATAGTATTCTCAACTGGACTGGTCTGGGAAGTATTTCATGATGGGTGAAGTCTTTTAACAAGCAAAATGAGAAATAGTGATTGACTGTTTTAAAAATTATAATAATAATAATAATTATTGGGAAATGCATGGAAAAGACATTGAATGATAAAGCGGGGAGATTGATGTCTCTGTATTGACTGACATGCATGGCATTCCCTTTTGAAAAAGCAATGGAAGTCAATGTAAAGTTATATGTAATCCAATGTAATATAAAGAAGATTATGATGATAATAAAAATAAAAAAAATAAAAATAAAAATAAATTTTTTTTAATGGAAAGTATAAACATGCATATTTAAGGAAGTATCCTTCAATTCCTGTTTCTCAAAATACATGCCATATATCATCTATCAATAATCTATCATCTACTGCCATTTCTATCTAATCATCTATCGTAGTTCTTAGTCTCCTTTTATGTTTTGTTTTTAAGAATTATTTAATTTGACTTATTATCATGTTTTTGTTATTTTAATTTATTTTATACTTTCAATCATTGTACATCACTACAGCTTGTAAAATGAGTTACCCAACATGAATACACTTCACACTAGTCCTGTTGAAGACATCATACATGTTATCATCAATGGATAATCATCCTTTAATCATCCTTTTCTGTGTCCTGTAAATGTCTTGCCTCTTAAGGAGAAAAACAGAGAGAGGCAAGTCATTTTGCATCTTTTGGGTTGAACCAGGAAGGTGAAGCCTCTTCCTCCTGCAATGTCTCTCTAGCGCCCTCTACCTACAAAGCTTAATATCCTGCCTGCCTGGCCAAGCAAAAATACTGAAAGGTCCAGATCTAATTTTGCAGCGCAGTGAGAGGAGAGGATTTGGAGCTAAGAAGCTGATGATGAGAATTCTAAAGCATGTTGTTATTGTTTTAAACAGCTGATTTTAAAGATATTTTTGAATTAAATATTTTTTTTCACCTCCATATTCACCTTTTCCAGCGCTCTTTAAGCATTCCAGTGCAGGTCTGAGTTTCCAACTGGGATAAACATTCCATCTAAAGAACTACTTGTAAAATTTCTCTTATGATGGCAATATATTTTCTTAGCTTTTTTTTTGTCTTCATATTCGAAGGATATTTTTTTCAAAAGAAATTACATTTTCCTTCTTAGAACTTTCCATTGACAACTTTCCATTTTGTTATGACTACAATAATTTCTTCTTTCTTTAAACTTTTCATTTAGAAGTAACTTTAAATTAGCGGAAGTTTGCAAAAATGATCGTGTTCTTTTATACCTCTCACCCAGCTTCCACGTGAACCGATTATACACAGTATGTAGCTACAGTACAATGACCTAAAACCAGGAAATTATACTCATGCTATATTGAATTCATATTATTCAAAAGTTTTCCATTGTTCCATCAGTGTCTGATCCGGATCCAATCCAGAAACCCACACTGCCTTTGGTTGTCATGGGTCCTTAAGCCTTTTCCTCCTATTTTGTCTTTTTGACCAAAGACCTTTTGAATTTTTTTTTAATTCAAGCAGAACTTTATTTTTTTACCAACAATTATCCCATTTAATGCAGGAAATAATTTCAATGCAGAGTAAATGTTCTATTTTCTCTCTTTCGTCAAACTACCACTACTCCTGTCTGAAACACAGTTGGCTACCTTGGCCTGTTTTCAACCTCGACCCTCGTTCTGGTTGCTATAACCAAATGCCATGGACTCGGGGTTTTATAAACCCAGAAATTCATTTCTCAGAGTTCTGGAGGCTGGCAGTCTGAGATCAGGTTGCTGGCACGGTCAGGTCCAGGGAGGGCACTCTTCCGGGTCATAGAGTTCAGACTTCTCATTGTGTCCTCACATGATGGCAGGAGAGGAGCTGGGTCTCATGTCTCTTAATAAGGACACTAATTCCACTCACGGGCGCTGCACCCACATGACCTAATCACCTCCCACCTTTAAATTTTTAGAGAAAATGGATGATTTTCTTTCTTCCATGAGTGATAGACACAGAGTAAAAGAGAGACAGAAAGACAGCACCCCCAATGGTGTCTTGATGCCGTGATTCCCCCCGCCCCCAGCTTTGTCCAGACCTGAATCATGGGCAAGCGTGTGCCTGGTGTACTCAGGGCGGTCTCTGGACATGAACCCAAGACCTTCCCATGTGGGTCTCAGCCTCTCAGAGCATCACAGTTTACCACTGTGCCACTGTCTGGCCCCTGGCAGGCCTTCGTTTTGTTTTTGTTTGTTTGTTTGTTTTTACCATAGAGAATGTACGCTTATTGGAAAGAGACAGAGACAGAGAGAGAGTGAGAGCGAGCAAGGGAAGTGAGAAACTGAGAAATCACCCTCCAGAGGGATGACCATGCAGCAGTCTCTTCTCCATTCTCTTCTCGGTATTTTGGGCAGGCATGCACACATGCCTGCATGAGTCTCAAGTCACTGGGTCTGGAACTCTAACTGTGGTTGACCATGTGAGAGCCCGGTACCTTAACCACTATGACACCTGCTTCCCTCCCTCCCCTCAAAGACCTTGTGAAGGGCACTGGCTGAACATTTTGTAGAAAGGCTTCCAGCTGGATTTGTCTGGTAGTTCCTCTGCCATAATTGGATTGCACATTTTGGGGGTCGGTGCTATGGAAGTCACGTCAGCTGGCTGGCACCACTTGTGCGGAGATAGCAGTCCTCATCTTTATCTCTGTGTCTTGTATATAATGTGCCCATTTTTTTTCTGACTGCTTTCAAAATTTTCTCTTGGGAACCAGCAGTTAGCGTAATGGCTATGTCGCTGGACTCCCACGTAGTCGACCGTGGTTTGCGTCCTGGACCCGGTGGCTTAGAACTCACGCTGGGCGCGTGTGTGTGCGTGTCCAAGATCCCGAGGGAGGTCCAGCTATGGAGGAGAAGGGATTGCGGCGTGACCATCCCCCCTGTGGGGTGATTTCTCGCTTTCTGTCTCTCTGTCTTTCTCTGTCTGTCTGGCGAGCGCATGCACCCTATAGCGAAAACCTCTAAAAAAATTTTTTTTCCTCTTTATCCTTGTTGTTTCGTTGTTATTGCTTCTTGCCAATGTGCTTGCGGAAGAGATTTTTGGGATTTTGGGCATGCATAGTCATGCTCCCAGAATGTTGTTCAAGCTGCTAGATCTGGGATTCGAACTGTGCTGCTGTCCATGTGGCATCCAGCACCTTAACCACCATGGTGCCACCGGCTAGCCATATCTTTGGTTTTAAATAATCTGATTATGCCCTGCCTTGGGTGGTGGTCTTTGTTTCTCCTGCTTTGAATTAGTTGAATATTTTGGACCTACCATGTTTATAGTTGTCAACATGTTTGGAAACAATTTAGCCATTATTTCTTTAAATATTTTCCCATATCTTATGCCTCCCCTTTCCTGGGAATTTTCTTTTATTCTTTTTTCTTTTTTTTGCTATAGGGTATGTGTGCTCATTGCAGAGACAGAAAGAGACGGTGACAGGGAAAGTGAGAAATCACCCAGCCAGGGGAATGGCTACCCTGCAATCCCTTCTCCTCCATTCTCCTCTTGGGTTTCTGGGTATGCATACATACATGGCCAGCTTGATTTTCAAGCTGCTGTGTCTGGGACAACCTCCGTCAGCTATGTGAGAGTCCAGTGCCTTCACTACTATGCCCCCTGCTGGCCACTGGGACTCCAATTTTATGTGGAAATGTAATAGGGAGGCTTAGGTCATCTGTAGTTTTATTTGCACTAGTGTTGATTTTACAGCGTGTTAGGACCAGGCGAAAGAAAGTCACGTTTTACAGCTACCATTTTCTTAGGGCCAACCAAAACTTTGTTTTGGTCTTTTGCAAAAAGGCAATGGATTTTATTTATTCTATAAGTGAATGAGGTGAATGAGCGAGAGACAGAGAGAGGGAGAGACAGCCCCTCTAACAGGGTCCCGCTGCTGCGATCCACCTCAAACACAGCTAGCCTTGATCACGGGCACCTGCATGTTTGGTGCATTCAGGGAGGTCTCCAGACTTGAACCCACAACCTTCCTGTGTGGGTCAGCCTTGAGAAACACTGTTCCCCCCGCCCGAGAGATTTTTGCTATAAAGCATGTGTGCTTGCCAGAGAGACAAAGAGAGGCATAGAGACAGAAAGTGAGAAATCACTCCCCAAGAGGGATGGTCATGCCACAATCCCTAAATTTCCATTCATAAATGAAAGACAAGCTCTGAAGTTAGACACGCACACACAAGTGTGTATCCAATGTATGGAATTAGAAGAGAGGAAATCTATCGACTATGTTGCTTGGTTTATAAAAATAAGCAACGTATGCAAAAATAAAAAATGAGCAATGTAAAGCTCATGCTAAAATAACAAAACCCAACAAAACAAATTCAATCACACACCAAAGATCCAGTGGTATTAGTGCTGTGGGGGACAGGATCTTCCAGTTCTAGGGGTGGGCAATGTCATCAAGAGCCCTACCTGGGTCTTTCCTGGGGTTCAGTTTCAGCAGGCATTGCTTTTGCAATGAGAAAGGCAAACCAACGAATATTTGCACCTGCGTCTCCTTCCATCTTTCTAGAGGGAGATTGCACTGTTCCCCATAACAAGCTTCAAGCACCAGCCCCTCCCACGGGCGTCAGAAACTCTCACCCCTCATTCTCCCCCCACCCCAGAACCTTATAAGGAAACAGAGCTTCAGGATTCTGCCTCTTGGGGACCTGGGGGCCCCATCTCTGGCCAATCGACTCTGGAGTTCTGCTCTCTCCTACGCTCCCCCTGCACTGCCCTGAGCCCTAAGGCCCACGATACACCGAGGGTGCCACATCCGCCTGCATTCGGCAGGTCAGAGGGATGGGGCTGTTAGCAGAGGAGTTGCTCCTCCTGAGGTGGTGCCAGATGTTACGGACTGAATATTTGTGTGTCCCCAAAATCCACAGGCTGAAATCCTCACCGCCAAGTCGATGGTACTAGCAGGTGGGGCCTCTGGATGGTGACTGGGCCGTGATAGTGGTGCCCACGTGAAGGAGGTTAGTGATCTTATTAAAGAGACCCCGGAGGGCCCTCCCTGCTCTCTCAATGAGATCCAGCTATGGAGGAGTCAGGGACAAGAACTTGAGCATGCTGGCACCCTGATCTTGGACTTCCAGCCTCCAGAACTGTGAGGAAAACATACGTCACGTGTTCTGTCATGGCGGCCTGGATGGGCTGAGGCAGCAGGGGTGGGGGTCTGCGAATGCTGTGTGACTTCACGGCTGCATGACCTCAGCATCCCCACACCTCCTCTGCAACCACACACGTCCCAAGAGTAGCAATGACAGTTATTTATTACAAGCTGCTTACAGAAAGAGCCAATTCTGGTCGAATGGAGGAGAACCCGGAGGAGAGTGGGGGACCTCCCATTCCCTGGAGCATTGGTGTGGGCCCCTGGTACCCAAAGTCAGATGGCGCCAGGGCTCCGGGGCGACTCTCAGGCTGGGTTCTCAACCTTGCCCATGAAGAGGCTGCTCCACGAGAAGTCGTCGAAGACCAGGATGACGAAGGGCTGGTTGAAGAGTATGGTGTGTGGCTCTGAGCTCTGCTCTGGTGAGACCTCAGTGTGGGCGGCTGCCTTCATGCCCCTCTCATCGAGTTGCAGTGTGGCTTTATGTACCACCTGGGGGTACAGACGGGGGAGGGCAGGGGCTGAGCACCTGCTGCCTGTGAGGCCTACTCACACCTTGTGACTTGGGCTCCTTGTGGAAGCCCCGGCCTCTGGAAGCTGAAGCTGAGGCTCAGGGGTCAGGTGCTGGCTCCTCGTAAGGCAGCAGCCCCAGGACCACAGCTCGGACCTGTCCACCTCCAGAATCTGGGCCACACCTCTGACTCCTCTCCACTAAAGAAGCAGGCTGGGCCCAGCACTCAGACCAGGGGCTCGTGCTTGGACTGACTTCAAGGAGCACACTGGGCACCCCTTCCTGAGCCTTGGGCTGGTAGAGGAGACCTCACCTTCTTTCTACTCTGCTTGGGGAACACTTGGGCCCCATGCCAAGTGCTCATGCCTGTCTTATCTGGGGAAGGCCAGGCAGAATCGAAAATGTGAATCTGACTGTGGATACACCTGTTGTCGTGATTGAAATGAGAAGGCATTCTGAATTCAACAGCATGTGTGACCACATGGATCAAAAGCCTTCAGTGGTGCCTACCCTGGCTACTTTGGTAACAGGGGCCATTAGGGGAGCTCACGGCACCCTGTGGGGCAGGAGGTCTCAACAGCCATACAGCAAGGGCTCCAGGGCCCTGAGCAGCTCTGGGAGCAGGTGCCCGATGCCTGGGAAGAGCTGGGCTGGGACTGGAGCTCTGCAGTGTGTCTTGAGAACACAGGCTTTGAGTCAACAGACCAAGGTCAAATGTCGGGTTGCGGAGCAGCAGCTCTGTGACCGCGGGCTAGGTACCTCCAGCTGGAGACTCCTCCCCTGAGAATGCTCACCAGGTCGGAGGGAGCTGCGTGTCTCAGTGTGCTCACACAGTGTTTTATTGAGCACGTGCTACATGCCAGGGACTACAGGGGCCACAAAGTCCTTGGGCCCTGGTGGCACACTGCAGTAACGGAGCCATACCCAGAGCCGAGGACAGCTGGAGGCACACGGTGTGTTCAGCAGAATGTGCCGAATGAACGAGTGAATAACAGCATAAAGCCGAAGGGTAAAGGCAATGCCTGGCTGCGTAGAGGGCCCAGGGGGATCCCATTTGGAGAGACCGTGCTCCCTGTTCCGTGGTGCTGGGAGCCACTCCCAGTTCTGCCATGACAGCTTTGTTTTCCATAGTCCTCTGTTTGGTTGGGGGATACCTGAGCTGTGGCCTCCTTTGTCACCTAGCCTCCTGTGTGACTTCGGGGATGTCACATCTCCTTGCCAAGCCTGTTTACTCATTGTAAAGTGAGGGGCTGGCACCAGTCCTGGGGTTCTTGTTCCGGGACCTTGAGACCCAGTTATGAAGGGGCTCATTGTTGCTTATCATTATGATTATTATTTACTTTGCCAGAGGATGTGTGTGGTTACTGGAGAATGAGAGAGAGAGACAGGAGAGAGAGAGAGAGAGAGAGAGAAAGTACCCCCCGCCCCCGTGTGCAACCCCTTCTGCTCCATTGGTCCCTTCTGTGGGGATTTAAGACACACATGCGTAAGTGCCTGGTAAGCTTTCCATACAGCCGGCCTCGTGGGCCCAGCCCCCATAATCACCAGGCCGTGGGCTGACCCTCGTTAGTATTTTTATTAGGAGTTTGGAGGAAAAAAAAGTTAGGCTCCTGAGACACGTACCTTTGACAGCTTCACTGGGGCCTCTTGGGTAATGCCCGAGAAATCTGACCAGTTGGCGAACAGGCCTGCGATGCCCATGCCCGTCAGGACGTCCGTGAGGTCATGGGCTCCAGAGATGGAGAACTTCGGGATATACAGGTTCACCTGGCTGCACGGCAAGCAGAGGGCATGAGGCCTTGCAGGGCCTCCTCTGGCCAGCTGACCTTCCTCCTGTGATCCCCCAGCCCTTCCTGGCTGAACCTGCTCTCTGGGGACAGGAGAGGGCCAGGGCGAGAGGTAGCATCTGCCTCTCCTGGTCAGCTTCCTCTCTGGGCCTCTGACGTGCAAATTCCTTTCTCTGCAGTTCCTCTGAGCCCATTCTACCCATAATGCAGCAGGGCCACTGAGCATTTAGGGCAGGTCCCTGAAGAAGTCCCTTTAGTCCCCGGAGCATCCACTATAAGAACAGGAGGAAAGGGAAGCTGCCAGCCTGGCCCCAGCCCTGCTGCTACTGCTGCAGGGGACAGCCCA